TGCCTCTGCTCCCGGCCGAGGCGGTAGGGGGCGTGATATCAAACACAGCATCATGTAGGGTGAAACACAGGGGAAAGGGTTAGAGTTGGTTGCTCCTCTGCCCTTTGGTGCTAGAGGATCACACTGCCAAAAGGGCATGTGGGATGGCCCGGACTGTCAGTCCCAGGCGCCTGAATGCATGGATCAGGGAGAAATGTGAGAGGCAGCTGCTGCTGACATCGTCTGTGGTTTGCACCCATGGGAGAGCCAACCTGGGCATTATTTGTGTATTCATAGTCCCATGTATTTGGTATATGAAAGCTCACTTTATTCAAATACACTTTTTTCCTATTCTAGCAACCAGACACCAGTAGCAATACGGTAAAGCCTTATTTGTGTTTGGCTCAAGCTATGCAGAGCAAAAACTGCAGGATGGAAGATTGTTTGTTGGTCTGTGTCAATACGTGTTGCTCATTTATGTATTTACTGCAGAAGGATGCAGAAAGATCGGTCGGGCTTCAGCTGCTGAGACGGCTGACGACACGCAGGCCCAACCCTGAGCTCCTTGAGAACCCCAGGTCTCAGCAGGGCGCAGGTTGGGTGCGTGGTTTCGTGGTGCGTGGAGGGCAATGGGGCATGCTGCCACGCAGCAGCAGGACCAGCCTGACGGGGACCGGGGTGTGCAGGAGCTGGTGTGGTGCTCTGGTTGGGTGCGTTCCACTGGGGGTGCTTGGCCGGTCTGCCGCTCTCCCGAAGGGCGGTGGGGAGTCCCCAGCGGGGATGCTCTCACAACAGCCCTTGTTAATGGGCTTCTGCAGAGCAAAAATCAAACACATTGCTTCTGGCAGGAGGATCGGTGACAGCAAGCAGTGAGCTTTGGCAAAACCCTGAAGTCCAAATCCGCCCATAATTTTGTCCCTAAGCCATTCCATTAAGTCAAGATTTGTAATTTTGTTTTGGTTTTGATACTGTGTTTGTACTGAAAGGAAACCCAGTTTTTCCAGGAGATATTGAGCAGGGCGTCCCATAAAGGGAGCATCTGAGACCCTTTCCGGAGCGTGCACGGTGTGATTTGAATTTGGTGTCGATGGTGAGGTATGAGCCGCGGTACGGACGAGCAGGCGGAGCGCGGGGGCAGCCGCCCACGGTGCAGCGCTGCTGTCCCACGGGAAGACAGGCAGCAGCCCTGAGAAAAGTCTGTTGCACGGCCATCAGCAGGAGATAAAAAAAATAAGCTGGAGTTATCACCAGCCCTTTCATGGCATTTCTGCGCCACTGACACACCATTTCCTGTGCCGTTACATACATCATTGCGTAGTGCCATGAACTTAACTCTTATCAGCACCCCGGTGGGAAAGCCTGGGTTATTTACAGTAGGGCTCTTTTCAGTGTTGCAAGCTTCTTTTCAATTAAAACAAACAGCAAATTAAATACTAAATAGATA